CTACCGCGCGCCTCCTCCCCGGCCGGCTCGCGCCTTCCCGGGGCTGAACCCACCTCCGAGGTGTCCTCCCTTCCCCATTCACTCACCCACTTCTCTGATGGATTTGTCATTCCATGGTGTCTACCAGACGTGGTTTTCAGGCTGGGGATGTGGTTGTAGCGGGGACAGAAAAGTAAGTAAACTCAGCTGCAAGTCGTAGGAAGTGCTCTGTAGGGAAGACATGGCGGAGGACGCCTGTTTCTGTGAGCGGATGTTGGACGCAGGCAGGACTGGAGATGGTGATGGTGTCAGCACACAGTGACTGAAGTTTCACCCCAGTCGGTGCTTTCTGTGAATGACCTCCTTTGATTTTAGGAAAGTCCGGCAAAATAGGTTCTATTATTTACCCCTGGTACATCGAGCGGCTAGCCGCTAGAGGCTCAGAGAAAAGCTCTTAAATGAGATGGGGCTGTAAAATAAAGGCAATAAAGTAAAAATTTCAAAGTAAAGATCACTCTGCTTACGTGGGGAGTTTTGATGAAGACAAGAAGAGGTGATGTGCGGAACAGTTTAGAGAGCACTTCCTCTTCCCGCAGGGGATGCATTCCCTGGGGGCAGAGGCTGGCAGGTGGGCAGGTCTGAGTCCTGTGACTTTGGGCAGGTTATTCATCTTAGTTTCCTAATTTGTAAAATGGGACTAATGTTAGTGATCTTAAAGAGCTGACATGAAGATTGAGATAATGCATACATAGTCCTTATTATCATGCCTGGTATGTATCCAGGTGTTCAATCATTAGTCGGTATTATTTACTAAGGGTTTGTTCTGTTATCTGTTGCTGCATAACCAAGAAACTCAGTGGTATAAAACAACAGCCATTTAACTCCCTGTCCTGGCTTCTGTGTCAGGAGCTTGGCGCGCTGCTCTGGCCAGTTCAGTCGCGGTCCCAGGTGGCTGGGTCTGGAACAGCCTGAGCACCTGGCGTGGTGGGCGGGTGAGGAGCCGCAGGAGCCTGCGGGGTCTTTGCAGGGCCCAGTTGTGATTCCTTCAGGGAGTTGGAGCGCTAACAGGGTGTCTGAAGTTTTTGAAAGTATTCTAATCTTTTATTACTTAATCCCAGAAGTCAGTGTCACTTCTGCTTTATTGTGATGGTTAAAACAGTTCCAGAAGCCACTCATTTTAAAAGGGAGGGCACATACTATAGACCCCACTGCTGGGAGGAGGGATGTGAAATGGGCCATCTTTGAAAATACAATTGGCTGCATTCTATCAAAGGCGACTAAAACCTCACCCCTCTCCTTGCGGAATTGAGAGTCCAACAAGGGAGGCAGATCTGTGAACAAATAGGATTTCACTATTATGTAGTAAGAACTTATACTTCTATGGAGTCTAGGGGAAGGGAGCTGGTAAAAGTTAACATCTTTTAAATGCTCTTTGCATTACCATTCTTTCTTTTAGTAACCCTGGGATAGATTCTGTTATTTTACGTTTTTTACAGATAAAGAATATGAGCCTTGAAGTTAGTTAACTTGTATGAATCAAGTTAGAGAGTTGGTAAATGGCAGAGCTGGGATGCAATTCAGATTCTGATAGTAAAGTTAGTATTTGTAACCATTATAACTAATTTATAAACTGACTCCTTATATTGGGTTTAGGAGGGATATTGGCTTGGAAAATGCATTGTAGCTCCAGGAAACATCGGGATCAATGGTAATGAAGTTGGGAAGCCCTGGGCCCTTTGGGGTCTACCAAGTTTTATTATTATTACTACTAGAGGCCCAGTGCACAAAAATTTGTGCACTTGGGGGGAAGGGGGGTCCCTCAGTCCGGCCTGTGCCCTCTCGCAGTCTGGGACCCCTCGGGAGATAACGACCTGCTGGCT